CTTCCCGCACCGCACCCGGCTGCGAACTGGAGCCACCCCGCCTCTCCTTCCTCCTCCTGCGCCTCTGCCGCATGCCCCGTCCACGGAGGAGCCCCTCCAACCCGTGCGCCCCAGCCCAGCACAGGGCCTTTGGTGGCCCTTACTCATGCCTAGACCCACACCTTTGGTGGGCCTTACTCATGAATAGACCCTCACCAGGGATGGGCAGGGAGCGCACTTGCTTCCTGCGCCCGGCAGCAATCTGGAGCCGCCCCTGCCTATCCTTCCTCCTCCTGCGCGTAGGAGTAAAAAAGTTCCCTGACCCCCTGCTCTAACCGTTGGGGCGAAAGAGCTACAAAGAAGCAGCCTCTTCGCCACCAACGGTTTGAATTTCCTGCCTTTTCCCCCTGCCCTTTTCTGTTCTTAAGTCAAAGCTCCGCTTGCAAGTTGAAGCAAAATTTTGCAAGCCGAGCTGTTCGTAAGTCGAAATGTTCATAGGTAGGGGCGTTTGTAAGTCGAGGCACCACTGTATGTTGATTTTTAAATGTGAATAATAACAACAAAGAAATAAAAAGTATAATGGCTTATAATTTTATGCAAACACGGCCACTGTATAACTTTTCTGATGAGTTCCATTTCTGCTGGTGTTCCCCCTTTTTAAAAACCTCCTGCTGCTTTTCTAAAGTTTCTTTCTGTGCTACGTTTCTTTTTCCAGGTGGAATGCATTGCAGTGAAGAAATGAAAGGAATCTATGCACAGACCACTGGTAACTGACTTTCCTAACAAATGTTTTCTCTTTCAGGACGGAGGGAAGAGGGAAGCAAAGAAAATAGTCAACATGTGGCGCAGGCCACTACAGCAGGTAAAACACTGTTTTCTGCTACAGATGTTAAAAAATGGAGGTTGTTTGACAGGAAAAAAGATGAGGAATTGAAGATGCTTTTTAAAAGTATATTTATGTGCTGTTAGGCTTCCTATAACTATGAAGTTCTTTTTATTAGAAAAAGGCAGAGCATTCTAAAGCAGGGTGTGAAATAGGCTCATGGAGAATAAATTTTAAAAGGAATTGAGACTGGATTGAAGTGAATGGAAATGGAATATTAAGCCATTGTGACTGTTAAGGCAGTCACCGAAAACCAGAAATCCTTTCAATACTGGAGAACACAGCCTTTCGTTGCACCCTTCCTAAGTGTTAATCCATGTTCTCTTCTCCCTAGTTGTCAGAGTTTGGGATTTCTGAATCGAAGGATACAGTAGGGACTCTCAGATTTATACCATAAGTGGTAGAACTAGGGAGGCTTAGGAAACGAGGATTGAGGCTACAAAGGAAGAGACACTCAGTAGTAGAGGTGGAAGAAGAGAGGATGGGCAGAGTGGGTAGGAGAGAATTGCATGTCGTTGGCTGGATTGCAACCCAGATGTTTGAGAGAGATGTGAGCCTTTCAGGATTCCATGCAGAGTTAAACATCTGTTTCTGAAGTGTCGATCTGCAGCTGGTTGTTGATCAGGATGACAGTCATATGGATAGTTACTCTCTCCTTATAATCTTGGAATTGAATTGCAGGCAACATTGACCAGCATTCTCCGCTGTAAGGCAGCTGAGAATGTTCTATTAGCCATCATCCCCAACATGTACACTTTGGCCTAAATGCAGCTATCCCATAAACTAGCTACTGTGTTGTGCTATCTTGATGCATGGCGTGTTATCTTACAGTAAGGTGTGTAGTGTGTCTTTGCATTTTGGTAAAGAGGACTTGGAGGAGAACGTCCATGAAGGGAAGTGCTAGCCACCCAGTCCCTCTTTTTGCGTTCTCACACTCCCCTGTACTGTACATTTGCGTATTGATTATAATTGAAGAAGGGCTACTAATTGAGAATGATCTGGTGCAGGATGCAAATTTATTGAAGAATTTATTTTGTCTGGGGTGATTTGGATGAGAAGTTAGCTGACTGGGTTTGCCATCTGTGGAAATTTTAGTGGCTTGCACCAATTATTTCTAAATGGTCACATATTGATGTAAATGAGTAACTGCAAATTATATGCTGATGTGGATCCAGTAGGCCAGGGCTCTGAATGTTTTTCATGCCTCAGAATGCCCCTGTCGGCAATGCTCATTTCACTATTGTCATCTTTTGTTTTCATTTGCAGGTGCTGCGTCAGTTTGTGAGGCATGAGTCGGAGTCATCAATGGCCTGTCTAGTACTTGAAAGATGTAAGTAACTTTCCTTGAGCCCAGGCTGGTGGCTTGTAAGGTTCACACAGAGTCTATGTTAAGTCATCATGTCATTCCATTTATCGAATTGCATTTCTTCCAAGGGTGTGTCAACCTCTGTTAAATTTGAAGTTTTTATTAGATACAACAACAGCTTGTTTGTCTTTGACCCTCACTCGCCCATTCATCCCCAGAATTTCTCTACTGTAGGGAATTTCCCTATTGCAGATACCTACAATTATGGCTACTTCCACACCGTAGAGGCCAGTGAGGTTCACAATAGTACAAGAGCAGACCAACCAAAGAACATAACAGACCAAAATTGCTTTCCATATCCCCTCCCTCTCTCCCTATACTTCCCTCTCCCTTCCCTGGGTGCTCTGTTGGGGTGCCTTTAGATCCAATGAAACTCCATCCTTGCAAATATTAAGAATTCTTCCTTGGATCTGATAGAACAGCTCATCCAATGAAAACTCATCTTGTTCACTTGCTAGTTGCCAGACAAACTCAATTGGTTGAACAGACTGAATGTATCAATTTTGACTGTGCTTGGCTATTTAAGGTCCTCAGGGGAGGCCTTTCTCTTGGTTTCTCCACCTTCATAGGTGTGTTTGATAGGGACACGAGAGGGCCTTCTCTGTCACTGCTCTAAGACTGTGGAACTCCCTCCCACAGGAGGCTAGTCTGGCCCGTTCTTTGCTGTTCTTCCCTTCAGGCAAGCTTTCCCTCAGCGGGTTGCTGCCTGAGCATGATCTTTGTGTGTAAATGAGTAACTGCAAATTATATGCTGATGTGGATCCAGTAGGCCAGGGCTCTGAATGTTTTTCATGCCTCAGAATGCCCCTGTCGGCAATGCTCATTTCACTATTGTCATCTTTTGTTTTCATTTGCAGGTGCTGCGTCAGTTTGTGAGGCATGAGTCGGAGTCATCAATGGCCTGTCTAGTACTTGAAAGATGTAAGTAACTTTCCTTGAGCCCAGGCTGGTGGCTTGTAAGGTTCACACAGAGTCTATGTTAAGTCGTCATGTCATTCCATTTATCGAATTGCATTGCTTCCAAGGGTGTGTCAACCTCTGTTAAATTTGAAGTTTTTATTAGATACAACAACAGCTTGTTTGTCTTTGACCCTCACTCGCCCATTCATCCCCAGAATTTCTCTACTGTAGGGAATTTCCCTATTGCAGATACCTACAATTATGGCTACTTCCACACCGTAGAGGCCAGTGAGGTTCACAATAGTACAAGAGCAGACCAACCAAAGAACATAACAGACCAAAATTGCTTTCCATATCCCCTCCCTCTCTCCCTATACTTCCCTCTCCCTTCCCTGGGTGCTCTGTTGGGGTGCCTTTAGATCCAATGAAACTCCATCCTTGCAAATATTAAGAATTCTTCCTTGGATCTGATAGAACAGCTCATCCAATGAAAACTCATCTTGTTCACTTGCTAGTTGCCAGACAAACTCAATTGGTTGAACAGACTGAATGTATCAATTTTGACTGTGCTTGGCTATTTAAGGTCCTCAGGGGAGGCCTTTCTCTTGGTTTCTCCACCTTCATAGGTGTGTTTGATAGGGACACGAGAGGGCCTTCTCTGTCACTGCTCTAAGACTGTGGAACTCCCTCCCACAGGAGGCTAGTCTGGCCCGTTCTTTGCTGTTCTTCCCTTCAGGCAAGCTTTCCCTCAGCGGGTTGCTGCCTGAGCATGATCTTTGTGAATGGATAGTTATGCATCGCTGCTTTGACCGTGTTTTTAGTATTGCTTGTGTTTCCCATTTCTCAGAGTGGTATTTGTTTATTCCTTTCTAATATTTCTACACTTAATGTTTTTAGCTTTAAATCATTGCCTTTTAATGATGTCCGCCACCTATGTATACTCATTGTTTTGTTCTTAAATATTGTCTTTTAATGTTGTATGCTGCCTTGGTCCTTTTCTAAGGAGAAATGTGAGGTAAAATATTTTAAATAATTAAATCCAACTGACCTCAGTTTGATACTTGGTCCTGTTTACTTTTTAGCATTGAATCGCATCCAGTTGCTGGGCCGTGTGGGCCAGGATCCAGTCATGAGGCAAGTGGAAGGGAAAAATCCTGTCACAATTTTCAGCCTCGCAACCAATGAGATGTGGCGATCAAACGAAAGTGAAGTGTCCCAAGGAGGTGAGCAGATGTGGTTGTTGAGTTATGGGAATGTGTTACAAGGGGGCTGATCTGTCTCACCTCCTACAGTGGTCCACAGCTTAATGAAAGTCTGTGTTATAGACTTTCTCAGTGTATTCTTCCCATTGCTTCATATGCCCTCCAAATATATTTCCTGCTACCGCTAGACCAGATGATTTGCATACTGTTTGCTTGGTTTTGAATTGAGAACATAGAAAGCGGTGTCATTTGATGTTTCAGGAGGCTTCTGTAGGTTTTCTTGGATTTCTAGGCTCCATATTCTTTCGATCTGATTCTTCTCCCAATCTCGTGTTGCTATGCCACAGAGATGCTTAGTTCTTTAGGTTTTTGTCCCCTTTTATCTCCCCTGTACCCTTCCTTGCTGTTCATGCCTGAAGGCCCCAACTCTGTTTACCCTAGTTCTCCATGATTTCTCCCATTATCGCTTCCTGTGCTTTGATTAGCTTCCCATTCTGCAGGTCTTGGAACATCTGCCCGAGGTAGGCTACGTTATTCTTTCTCTTCACCTTTCCCCAGTACTATCACTTGATTTTCTCCATGCCCTGCAGCCCTTTGTTTCTCCGTAACTAATAAGTTGCATCTGATATAACACTACAGCCAGATTGTTAACTGGGTCTGGTTACAAGGATGACATAACCCCCTTGTCACAGCAGTTCCATTCCGATGGGCTTAGCTTACCTTAGGGATGTTCAGACGAACACACCTCAGGCTTTGACCGGTGAATGTGTGGTCATGTTGGGTTTCCTGCCACCTCCATGGCCGCTGCCCCCCCAAGACTGGTTGTTGACTGTGTCCTGCCACCTCCATGGCCGCTGCCCCCCCAAGACTGGTTTCTATGTTGACTGTGCTCCCCACAAGTCACACACTTGGCAACTATAAGATCCTGCAACCCCACGTTTCCCAGTGAAATAATATGCAAGAGTGGGTGGGGTGAACAAAGCTTGGAAGTGATGTTAGGTTTAAGACATTAATGTGAATTTTGATTTTTTTTTAGTGTATAGAAATAGGAGGACAAGAAAACATTGTATTTAACATTATAAAAGTAGCATTTTAAAGTAACTGTTTCCTTCAGAAGAGCAGAGACTTCTGTTTGTTTCTTGCCCTGTTCAACACAAAAGTATTGAGTTTGATGTTAACACCTTGAAACAAATGTGTAATTTCCAAGGCCTAGGTTTCAACGAACACTTCCCTAGCCTTATGAAAAAAAATCTAACACAAGCTTAGAGGGCATGTAGGGAATATGTCTGAATTACAAATATCATGCTCTTTCAACATTTGCTATGCTGGCTAGGTCTGATGGGAAGCGTGGCTTAACAAAAGCTGGGCAGCTGTTTATTTTCCAGTGCTCATCAACACTTCCTAGAAAACATCTGGAAACTAAGTTCTTTTTTTTAATTGTTATATTTTGTAATCTGTACTTTGTTTCCTTTGATCCAGGTGATATCTCCCAGAAGACAACGTGGCACAGGATTTCTGTGTTTAGGCCAGGGCTCAGAGATGTAGCTTACCAGTATGTGAGGAAGGGGTGAGTTCAATTAGGTCTTTTTTGTGGACAAAGCGCCTCGTTAACCAGGCCCTTCCTACAAGCCAGGGGTTGTCACAAGCATTCCTGCTATAAGATAGGTTCTCGTATATCAAGGCTGGGAGGTCTGTGGCAGTGGCTGGAATCCCAGTTCCCTGCGGTCACAACCCCCATAACCAGTAGACGGTGATGATGAGGGCATCCATTGCTCTGTGTGTGGGGTTCCCCCCCACCTCTCATAATGCTGCCACTTCTCTGTATGTTGGAAGTAAACTTTCCCCCTTCTCTGGAGCAGGCATGGGCAGATGGTTTATGCTTCCCATCTTGCTGTCGCTCAGTCTTCCCCAGCCTGTGTTCTGTGTGCCTTGTGGGACACAAATGCGCATGGCCCTTACCGTAATCGTAATTTTATCATAAAGTTTCATGCAGAGAAGACACCCGCAAGGCCGTTGTTCCTGGCCTGCTCTGGGGCGTGTGTATGCATCACAATGTTCAAGAATGATGTGCAGAGAAAAGGTTAGAAAGTCCGGGAAAGAACAGGTGTGGTAAAGACAGGAAGGCAATGGATAACAATCTCTGGAGATAACTTGCGGTAGATTTCTAATAGGAACTCTGCCAGGAAGGTCTCTCATTGGGAACTTCTCTCCTAGTTTGATATGCATTCCCCTCTTCAAGGACATGAGAAGTATTGGCTCAGACTGAGGGTCTACGTAGTCTTGAGATTTTGTTCACACAGTGACCAACCAATGGCTCATAGGAAACTCACAAGTAGGTCATGAATGCATCTGCACTTTCCATCTCCTGTTTCCAAACAATGGATACCTAAAATAATGATAATCGGGCCTCAAGTAAATTTTGATTTATAGTGACCCTTTTCAGGGTTTCCCAGACAGCAGTTACTCAGAAGTAGGTTACCCTTCCCTTCTTCTGGGGGCACCCTGGGACTGTGCACCTTGCCCAAGGCCACACAGGCTGGCTCTACTCCCAGGTTGGCACAGTGGGGAATCAAACTCCCAACCCAGATACAGTGGTGCCTCGCATAACGAGCACACCGTTTAACGACGAATTCGCATAGCGATCCGTTTTTTGGGATCGCTAATGCGATCGCATACCGATGTTCTCTATGGCCAGAAATCGCTTTGCGACGATCGGTAAGCATTTCGCTTACTGATCTTTGCATAGCGATTTTTTTAAATCAGCTGTTCGGCGGTTCCAAAATGGCCGCCGGATGCCCAAAATGGCCGCGCGCAGGGTTTTCGCGCCCTGCCCTCGCTTACTGAGGGTGCGAAAATGGCGGCCAGATGGGGAAACATCGCTTAACGGTGAGTTTAGAAGCCATTGGAACACATTAAACAAAGTTTAATGTGTTCCAATGGCATTTTCCGTTCCGTATAGCGATGTTTCCCCAACACTATGCGGGGCACCACTGTACCTAAACAAACCGCTGAGCTATCCAGCCAGCTAATTGACAAATACTGATATTTACTGCTTCTGTTATTGGACATGATACGAGATTATGCCCTCCTTATTAGTAGGCATCGATTACTGTCAGAGATGGGCATGAAGCGCTTCATCACACTTTGTATGAAGCTGTCGTCTGCCACCCACCCAGACTGGCCAGGCCACTCGCCCTGCTTTGCGCACCAATGGCGTCGTTCTCCTTCGGTGACACTCCAGGTTGAGCAGGAGCTTGGCCGGCCCGGCCCTGACTCCTTCAGCAACCAACCACTCTGACGAGGAGGCAGGAGGGGGATTCTTCGTGCCCATTTCTAATTGCTGTATTCTCCATAAATGTATCCACTGTCCAGGTTGACAGTTATCGCTACATCTTGTGGCAGTGAATTCCACTGTTGAACTTCATGTTCTGTGGGAAAGTATTTCCTCTCCCCTGCCCTGCTGTCTCCCACCACAGCTTGGCTTCAAGAAAACAGGAAGCTGTTTTATGCTGTCACATATCTTTGGTCTCCCCGGCCTGGTCTTGTTCAGACGTGCAGATTTCAGGCAGAATGTTTCCCTGGTAGTTCCCAATGATCACCCGTCCAAGGACTAACTGGGGACCTGTCCCTGCTTAGCTTCAGAAAGCAAATGAGAACAGGCATGTTCAGGATAATCTGGTATATGAGCGATTAAAGAACAAAACAACCTCCTCTCCGTCAGCATTTTCCTCACTGCGCTCCAAACATGGCGAGGCGAGGCAATGCAAGCAAGTCAGCAGACCGCATACATGTGATGTCCCTTCTGACTGAATGCCAGCTTCCTCACAGCTATGAATAACCAATATGCCAGGACCCAGCAGGATCTGCTTCAGAATTCTGCCCTGACGAGACAGGGTGCCCTCTGCCAGCCTCGACAGCAGGCTTTTAAAACCTCCCTCTTCGATGAACTTTCTGTGATTAATGTATCGACTGGTGAGCAGCATCCATTAAGGGTCGCACTTTGAAGTACAAATTTAATTAGAAAGAAGGAGCTGCGGAATTAAAAGCAAATGTTAGCATTAATCTCCCCATTGTCTGTGTTTGGCTTCTGACAGGGCTCGGATCTTTGTGGAAGGGAAGATAGACTACGGTGAATACACTGATAAAAACAACGTGAGGCGACAAGCCACAACAATCATTGCAGGTAAAAACTGTGTGCGCTGAAGATGGAAGGGGTGCTCTGGCATACAAAGCCAATCTCAGCCTTTGGACTACCTAGGCTAGTTAGCAAGAGTAGTAGCATCAGTTCCTCCCTCCCTCCACTAGGTGTCACTGCTGGGTGTTGCAAGAGGAAAGAAGGGAGCAAGGAAAAAATTATCTTAACGGAGTTTGTTAATGAGTCTGGCCTCCTAACATAGGTTTCAAAAGGTTAGCTAGTAGGTTGTCTGTCTCTTCTTTGCTACTACAGTGGTACCTCGACTTACAAACTTAATCCGTATTGGAACGGCGTTCGTATGTCGAAAAGGTCGTAAGTCGAAGTGCCATTTCCCATTGAAATGTATGGGAATGGAATTAATCCATTCCAGCATTTCGAAAGGCAAAAAATCAGGGGGAAAGGGCAGGAAATTCTAATTTCTAGCCCTTTATCCCTGCCTTTTTGGCTTTGGAGGTCTCAAAGGGCTTCCTCCAATGTCAGGGGGGAAAGCCCTTTGAGAGCTCCGAAGCCGACGATCGCGACGGTGGGGACCCCCAGGGAGGTTTCCCAGGGCTTGCCTGCCACCATGGGAGACCTCCCTGGGGGTCCCAAAAGGCAGGGAGAAAGCGTGGGAAATTCAAATATGACGGCTCCCTGCAAAAACGCAGGGAGAAAGGGCTGGAAATTTGAAGCACACAGAACAGTTCCGTTCGCAAGTGGATGCCAATTTTTGCCAACAGAGCTGTTCATAAATCAAAAAGTCCGTATGTAGGGCCATTCGTAAGTCGAGGGTTGACTGTAGCAAAGGCTGATCAAGTTCTGTGTGCTTCCAGAAAGTGGGTTTGTTTTAAAGTTTTAAAGTACAACCAGAAATACTTGTATTTCTGGTTGAGGTACTCATTACAGGTTGCCTCCTCTCAACTTCCTGCATTTTTCTTCTACCTGGTTTATTGTTACAAGAGCGGGTTTGAAAAAAGGTAGGTAAGAATAAATGGAGAAAGGGAGAAAGTGCAGGTAAATGTGTTGGGTTACGTTAATCCCCAGAGTATCCTGTCATGAAAGCTCTAGCGCAGCCTTCACCAAGCTGAGGGCCTTCCGGAAGTGTTGGAGTATGTTTGGGAAGCTGTAATCCAAAAAAATTAGTTTTCCAATCTGTGTTACAGAGCCAGGGGTGACACAGTTACTTCAAGGCTGAGGCTGAATGGATTAGTTATTAGCAAAAAGGTATAGTAATAGCTGATAATTGACCCGACACCTGTTGTGAACAGCAGTTTCTGTAATTCCTCTTCATTGGTCATGCTGGCTCAGATTTCTAGGAGTCGAAATCCAAAAACTTAGAGCACTTGAGTCCATGGAGCATTTTTGCTGACCTCAAGGCCACCCTAGAACCACTCACTGCAAAGTTACCTTATCTTTAAAAAAAAAAAAACACAGAAAAATACAGAAAAAGCCAAATTTCTGGGTGGCGGTTTTCATTTAGCAGCTTCAGGGGAATCCCTTCACACGCCACAAAATAGAAATTGGAAGTGTCTATCTGGGTGTTTCCTGCTTGGCTGTCTTAAATGGCCACATCTGGTCTGGTGCAGCCCACAGTATGGTCAGTAGGGCACAAGCTTGACTCTCAAGCCCAATGAGGTTGCCCATCTCTAAGAGAGAGGGTTAAAATAGGCTCCACTTTTAGCCAACAGCTCCATTCAGTCCAAGATAAGGTATGGTTCAGCCCTGGCTTTGTTTTGCTACGGTTTCAGTGGGTTTATGCAGACCTAACTGTGAACAGAACCTTGTGTGTGTGTTTTATTCATTAGTCAAATTTGTACCCTAGGTTTCTTCCAAAAAAACACCACTCAATAATAACAATAACATGATTTAAATAAATGCAATGCAAGTATTACAACAGATTGAAAATTCAGGGGTGAAAGAAAGGTTAAACAAAAGAGACACAACATTTTTGTGCACTACTTTGTTAAAACATTTGATTTTTTTAAAGCCTTTCTTTGGAAGTTGACGAAAGACCCTGAAAATGGAGGCGTCTCTCTTGTGTTTTTGTGTCTCTGTTGGTTGCAAAATGAAATCATTTTGATCTGTTAAATAATGGTTTTGGTTAGGTTACGTGGTTTCAAATTGTTTAAATACTCCATATTGATTAACATGTTTTAGATCGCACATTGTACTGATGGTGCTTCACCCTGAAATCATCCGATACCAAGTAGGTTAGAAATATTTTAACCAATGAAGTTCTTCCTTCTCCAGCTAGAATATTCTCAGTGCTGAGAAAAGTCCTTCTGCCCCAAGGGTAGAAAATTACTAGCAACCAGAGCGGGCAACGCTGAGAAAGATAAAAATGTGACTTTTGTGTATACATCTTCAAAGGTGTGACTTCTACAGTAATTTTCTTCTTCTTCTTTTTCTCTTTTAGATAATATTATTTTCCTGAGTGACCTCATGAAAGAAAAGGAATGAGATGCTGATTTCTTTTTTGGAAAATTTTTAGCTGCTGCTGCTGCTTTTTTTCCTTTTTTTATATAGTATTCATTACTTCTGCAGTCATCATGTCTCTACTGATAATTTTGTTGCCAGAATTAAAAATAAGTTTTGTAGAAATCTGATAGAATGTGTGAGTAGTCTGGGTTTATTTTGGATCTCCTACTTTTCCTTCATGTTTTTGATATTGTTCTTGTTTTTTTTTTTTTTAAAGGGAAATGGAGGGCAGGATGTGGGAAGGTAGAAACTGTGACTTGTTTTTCATTTCGGTAACATGACTACTAGAGCATAGAGCCAAATTTGATAGCCACATTGGTGCCATAACCTGTCATTTCTGCATCCCCAGTTAGTCCCCCAGATGCTGTGCCGATGACCTGGTATCAGGGCAAATTGAGAATTGTTGTAAAATCACAGTTAGGATAGATGTGTCTATGCAATCAAATGATAGTGTGTGAGTATCCTACATTGCTGTTTCCCCCGCATCCCTTCTTGAGTGTCTGCTACTGTGTTAGACTGTAACAACATGCTGCATCCAAGAAGAGGATCCAGATAACCCCTCTCTGACTGGCCTGATATCCTTCCTTAGCCTCTAAAAGAAGCTCATAATTGGCCAGCAAATGTTTCATATTTGAAACTTGGGTGAGAAATGGCAGAGAAGCCAGGCAGAGGGCAAGGGGGAAAAAAACGGAAGCTGGAAAAACTGCTGGCATTATGGTTCTTAGCCCACTCTGGTTGATGTTTGCAAAGAATTCTTGCCAAACATCTGGTTATGTTTTCCTTCTTTGAGGTTCGCCTTCCTCTTCAATGAAGCTGAAATCCCTGATGGGTTCACGCATAAAAATATAAGGAATATGTGGCTAGATCAAAGCAAATGGGGCGCATCCTTGCAATTCTAGTGAAGCACAGGATGGATCGCCAAAGCATCCAGAAAAAGGACAAAAACAAAAAACAGAAGCCACACAAATCCAGCTTAATTGCCAGAAGAATGAATAGAAAGACTTTTGTTGAGCATTATTTGCCCTCTGATTATAGCTTTGTTATTAACTTTTGATTAATTAGGCAATTGACAGATTCTCCATCTGCTTCCTTTTGCAAGTGACTGTGTCTCAGTCTATAGGCATAATCAAGGACGAAGCTGCGATTCCCTAAACGGGAATTTTGTGCCAATGTACATCCTTCCTTGAATGAGTTTCTCTAAATACAGAGGTTCTCTCATTTGTTTTTTTTTAAAGAGAAACATTCAGACATGACACTCATAGGCGTAGTTAATAGGGAATTGCTGGATGCAGAATCATGGCTAAGGGGAAACAAGTGCTGATGAGAACTCTAATGTAAGAATAATCGTATGAGTAGCATGCCAAAAGGCATACCAAGTATCTGTCCAAAGTGAAGACGTGAGTGCTAAATGGGGTAGATGTAGATCAGTGAGTGTAAAGTCTTTGGGAGATGGGGCTTCTAGGAGTGGGTGAATCCCTCTAACGTTCAGGCATCTTGACATGTCCACCTTTCCTTTATACCTATGGCAGAGGTAATTAGGAAACTGCGGAAGAGGGCAACCCAGATGTCAAAGAGATTAAAGCAACTCCTCTATAAGGAAAGGTTACTGTGTTTAGTGGTGTTTAAATGAACAAAGGATGACTAAGTAGACTTGTTAGAAGTGTGTAGAAAGTGAGATATCCTTAAATATCTCAAGTAGACATGGAAATGAATAAAAGATATGAATCGCAATATTCGTCAGAAAGCACTGATTTGTGTAATATTCATCATTTTGTATTCGGCAGTTCAAGAGGCCTTGATGAATATGAAGTGATGAATATATACCCTTTTTATTCGTCCCAAATAACGAAATGTGTTTTGCATGGAAAGTGTCAGTCCCTTGCATGTTCTATTAAAAGGATCAGGTAATGGGTTATGAGAGCGCAAAAAAGGAGGTAGAATAACAGCAGAACAGATTCTCTGCATGCATAGTTCCAGGTACAGATGGGCATGAACCTGAAAAATAGTGGTTTGTGATGGCTTGTGGTTAGCCATGAACCAGGAAGCAACAGGAAAAACGGACCGTTTTGTGGTTCGTTTTTCAGTTTGTGCCTGGTGGTGGGGCCGCTACCTGCTTCTGCCTTGCTCCTCTGGCTGCACCGCTGCTGGTGGCACTGCCACACCAGTGCTATCATCATCATATCACTCCACTTCTATCATCATATTTGATAAAATGTACAAAGATATTTGATAAGAATACAAATAATAAAGGCTTTTATTTTTGCTTTTGCTGTCTGTTTCTTACTTGCATGTCATTTTCACTTTTCATCCATATCTAAATATGTCAGTCTTTTTTCCTGGCGCTTCTTCCCGGCTGCATCCACCCTTTTCTCACTTTCCCCCAAAATGAAAACGACCTCACTACCTCCAAGGTGCCTAGCCACAGCAGCTCCATATGATGGGCTAATTGGTGTAATTTTACAGCTGCAAGCCTGTGAGTTTTAATGTTCCAAAGATACATATACTTAAAATCTAAAAAACTCTTTGAGAGCAATAAAAGGCCCACCGGCATGTTTGTCTGGTTTCTAAGAGGGGCCCGTAAGATGTTTCAGAAAAGTTGTCTTCATTGCTGACCCTCTGCATTTTGTGCTGGGGGGGGTCTGCATCTCATAAATAAACTCCCATTTTGTGATCTTGGGGCTACTCTTTAGCAAGAACAGTTACCAGCTACTGATGGACCTTTTCTCAATATAGTTTATAGGGTTTTTTATACACCCCAC